TGAAGAACTCACAGCTAAATATGACATAAAACATCATAAGACTACACCGTATCATCTTAGAGCCAATGGACAAATAGAAAAGACTAATGGAATTTTATGTAAAATCTTAACAAAATAGTTTGAGGAGCAGGAACAGATTGGGACACTAAGTTGTTTGTAGCTTTATGGGCATACTCTACTGCATATAAAGTTACTACCAATGCTACCCCTTTCCAATTGGTTTATGACCGAGAAGCAATATTACCTATTGAATTCGAAGTCCAAAGTTTACGAATTGCTATAGATACTAGATTGAAAGATAAGGATTCATTACGGTACCATTTAGAAGAATTGGAAAAATTGGATGAAACTAGAGCCAATGCATTCATGATCATGGAAACTACACAAAAACAAAGGAAGACTTATTATGATAGTAAGCTTAGACGAAAGGCTTTTATACCAAATGATTTGGTATTTCTTTATGATAGTCAATTTAAAAAAATTTCAAGAAAATTTCAAGTTCCATGGCATGAGCCATATCGAGTTATTGACGGATTTCCAAATGATTCAATACAATTGGAAGATTTTATGGGTACTAAATTTATGACATGGATCAATGGCAATCGGCTTAAACTTTACTATACATAAACCCGAGATGGATTTTCTGTTCCAAACGGGGTAGAAGAGGGGTGGTAAATAATGATGATGATAGGGTATTTCATCATGACGAATCGTGGGAAATAAAGGGGAGTCAATCCAATTGATTGGACCATAGTAAGAAGTAGGAAGGGGATTGTTGACAAGCATCATATTTTCTTTTGTGGTCAAAGAGAAGATGGCGAACATGGTGTCTGAGAAAGTAAGGTTAGAGACTGATTGGAAGGAATTGTAAGAATAGCTGCAGGTAGAGGTTGCAATGTTGGAGACTAAACTAGCCGCATTAGCAAAGGAGGCCAATAATTTAGAGCAGACTAATATACCAATTTTAGCAACAATACCTTCAGAGATACCTTTGAAATTGACAAAAAAATGGCACAATATGTTAGAGGAGTTTGACAACCAATTTACCCGACATGAGTCTCAGGTACGAGAATTGGATTTGTTGAATGAAGATCTGACGATGCGTTTGGATGGAGAACCATCGAACACCAAGGTAGATGACGAAGATATAGCACAGGAGAAGGTCATCAATTCAAAGGGTGGTAAGCCAACGCCATTGACTGAAGAAGCCAACGCTGCTACGTCTTTATAAGTTGAGGCTAAATAATGTTTACGAGGACGCTACACAGACAAAAGTGGGGCTATGTAGAATATGTAAATAAAATTTGTGATAAGTAACTGGTTCATTATTGATAACCTTGAGAATTAGATTGATAGTTAGGAAATTTAGTTGGTAACAGTAGGTTGTTAGTAGAATAAATGGTTTAGAATTCAAAAGATTATAACCTTTGAAATCCATTGGCTGACGGATCATCTTTTTGGTAGGATAAAGACGTTGAAGAAAGAGAGATCAGAGCCAGACTGTAATAGTTGTAAGCCAAGGTAAGCTTGGTGCTACCTCTTTTTGTTTCTTTGTTGTTGACGAGTAATGGATAGTTTCTTAATACTGAGAAGTTAATTTGGAGTGGCAGACTGTGAGAGTTATAAGCCGAGATATTGAATTCTGTGTGATGAATTGAGAAACTCAATAGAATAGGTAAGCTAGAGATCAGTAATTGAATATATATAAACCACAAAGAGAGTAAGTGGCAGATGAATGGATAAGAATATGGAAGTATTATTGAATTGATAGTTGTAGAATGGATTATGGGTTGAATTAAGATGGAAATAGTAAGCCTTGGTGTTTTGTAGTTTGATAATTGATTTCAGATAGCCAGAGTACAGTCAATTGTGACACTAACAGACCCAATTCATATAACCAGTCTTTCCCCGTGTTCGAACCCATATCTATTAGTTCAATTGCTTTAGTATATTGAAGCTTGAACATAACGAGAACAACAATGGGATATCATTTACTTGAGGTGTTTGGGGAATATATCAACATCTCTTCTTCTCCCTTTCTTAATCCAACACCTCATTGTATTGTGAATGATATTCTGTCAATTAGTAGAAATGGAGATCATAGAGTAGGTGAGAGGATTTGTTAAAGAGCTATCTAAAGTGAAATACTATTCTTAATTTTACTTGTTTCATTTAGTTGTGATGGTAACTACCTAATTTATGATTGTCATTCAATATAGGTGGAATTGATTCTGCTCAACTTGTGGTTTTTATCTATTGTTCTTTATTGGATTTGTAATACATTGTCTTTGAATATTTTCTCTTATATCATGGATTCCATATAGTGTTGTGATCCACCGACTGAGAGTAAGAGTAATGAAAAAATATGGAACATTCCGACAAAGTGTGAATGTAGCTGCCACCTTTTGATTGAAGCAATTATGTCATAGAGATGTGTTCTTTTGTTTTTAGTCAAAATGAATTCTTTATGAGACCAAGTTACTTTGCCTTTGGTTGAGGCATCTACATTGCATGAAGATTCAAGGAATAACAACACTTCTTCAAGATTGAATTTGCAATCTATGTCAACAACTTTAACTTCTGGAGGTTCAATGAAGTTTGACAAAATTCACCGAGGTTGGATTCCAAGGTTTATTTTGTCTTGGTTAAATTGCATCTTTCAAGTAGCTAATTTTAACAAAGTAGAATACCAACTTTACAAGACTTTGTAAGTAGTAGAATCTTTTTTTAAACTAAGCAAGTTAATTCTATAATAAAACCATAGATATTTTATTTGTTTATTTGTTTGTTATTTATTTTTATTAAATTTTGAATTCTATGGAAGAAAGGCTTGAAGATTGGCAATTTTGTTAGATTGATAATTTTTTTAGATCAAATACTATTCTATTGTAAATAAAATGGAGGCTAGCAAGTAATTTTGAAAACACATTAGCTTGTTCATGCTTGATAGAAATGTATATTACTAAAATGCTTCTATCTTCAAATTTTTCTCTTATCTAATGGTATTTGCCTCAACTTTTATCTTCTTTATATTGTTGTAAAATGAAATATATTTTTTAATCCTAGAATTATCCTTAAAACTACTTTTAATTCTTAAATTATTTAATCTAAATTAAAAAATAAAATATTATTTTATTTTTATAAGATATATTTTATAGATAATTTTGTAAAATAAGTAATAAAAAGAATTGGTGTAAAAATAAATTTATATAAAAAGAAAAGACTTAAAAAAAGAAAAAAAAAATGATACAAAAAAAAGTCAAAACAAGAAGGAAAGACTTGGTATAAGAAGAGTTTAAAGAAAAATTAATTTAAATAGGATTAAAAATAGAAAAGTTAGTATAAAAAGCCAAGATAGATAGCCATCCATGTGCTAAAAAGAGAAGGTGTTTAAAACCACCTTAGGAAGTTAAAGAAGTTAGAAATAAAGTAATTTTATTATGTTTAATAGTATTAAAAAAATCATTGTAAGATAGCTACAAATAGCCACAAAATTATGTGGTAAATATCAAAAGAAAATCATAATAAAGAGATTACACTTCACATACTTGTATGTCATTTCATCATACACTTTTCATCTATTAATAAGTTGTGAGAGTTATAGGATATAGTTTATGAAGATAAAGAAGATTTTCAATATAAGGAAGAAAGAGTTTTAAAGATTAGATTGAAAAAGCTAAAGATAAGATAAAGTTTCTAAAGATATAGAGGTTTTTCAATACAAGGAAGGAAGAGCTTTCAAGACTAGGTTGAAAAAGACAAGACAAGATTGACAAAGTAAAGATATTGAAGTTAGATTTAGAATTGAATTGTTTGACATTGACTTTGACTTCAACTCCAAGTGCTTGGGATAAGTACAATGATAGTTCTTATGTAGAAATATAAAAAGAATACTTTATAATTATTTAAGTATAAAAATCTAGGTGTTCAATATCATTCTTAGAATTTGTGTCTAGTCTTAAATTTTGGAGGTCATGACCTATACAACAACTATATATATCAAGTTTTGATCTTTTGTGTAGCAGCTCAAATGGATGTCACCTCCAAAACCTAAGGCTTCCAAAACTCAAGGCCTCTAGAACCTTGTACCTAAGATTTATAGAACCTTGCAACGTTTTCTTCACCTCTTCTCATGTTAATCCCATACAATCAAATTTAGGCCAATATATCAAATTTTAGGATTAACAGTGGTCCAATCTCACAATGCAAATTCAAGATATGATACATAAACCACAATTCAAATCACAAATTCATATTTATTTGTATTCTTTTCTCACAAGGACTATAATTTGTTTTATTTCCTACAAATTCTTTCTTTGAATCAACTAAGACTAGACCAAATTAAAGAGCTTGTCCTCTTTATCACGTTTTTGAATCACCTCACTTTTTTCCTACTATATAGCCAATTTCTCTTTTTCAAACACCATCTTATTCTTTTCTAACTTCTTCATTTCTAGTTCTTTTTGAAAACAAGCCTCAACTCTCTCACTATCTTACTTTAGTAGAATCAAGCACTCTATCATTATGGCAATTTTTAGTCATGATGACTCTCCAAACATATTAGCCATCTTGCGGCACCTCTTCAAAGATTCTCTATTATACACAACCACAAATTTTGCTTCAAAAGCACATAGTTGACATAGCATATTGGCTATGGAAAGGTTGAACTTGCTCTTTCATGCCTTATTCACCTAGACAACTAATTGCACTTAAGCTATAATCCTGGCTGTCCACTTCTTGTATACCTTTGTCTTACTAGAATTGTGGAACTTCTGAAAATTTGTTGGATCTTGTGGCCAACACACAATTATGGCATACTCATTTATCCCAAAATGACTCTCTTTGCCAATCTAGAAGACTTGGGATCTTCTACAAAAGCATAAGAAATAACAAAACAAGTAAAAAAGATGGAAGTAGATCAACATACTACTAGATTGACTTAATATCACTTGATACATCACCAAAATATTAAATGATACTTCACAAAACATCAAGGGATATTGAAGTTTGAATAGTAATACTTTAGTTAGTTAAAGTTCAAGTAATCCTAGAAATATCAAGTACTGAATCCCAATTATTTGGTTTTGCAAGACCACCATGTTTTAAACCCCCTAATGATGTTTCTAACATGTTTCAAACATGAAGATGATTTATGGGACCAATATGTCCACATAACTTGTCAGTTTACCGATTTAACCAAAAGACTAATTTTCTGTTTAGGAGACGAAATATTGACCCATCAAGGGAGCATGGAATTCTATCACAAAATGAACAGTCAAGTTAATCATTTTTGGGGGAAATTACAGTGACAAATTTTCATCTGATGGGGGAATCGGTTGCTACAAGAAGAATTCTAAGGGGCTATTCTAAATCTGATCATCAAACTGGATATGGGGTGGCACTTTACACAATGCGAGACCAACGTCCTCCACACATAGGGCAACCGTGAGGCCATCTCCCATTCCACATTTCTGTTGCGAATGGAGGGGAAGTTTGTGCAGTATTTTTACTTGGAACAGTCAATGCTGATGTCTGGCGCCCACAGCGTAAACACTGCACCCAAAAACAACAAATAAATCAACAGCAACTTTCACAACAATCTATGCATGCAGTGAGGAACTTGACTGAACAGATTGGCATGCATTGACAGGCTCTAATTACAAATCAAACTGGACTTGACTACTGGACTTCAAGGCACACTCTAGTCGCTGCTGAGATGCTCGAGAGATTAGTCCATAATGCATTCATACAACTTATAATGTACATGGTTTTGCAAGAAAATCTATAAATGAAGAGCACGGAAACAAACCTTGTGCCACACGCCATGGGATGGTGGTTTCCACTGGGAGGTGATCACATCCCGGCGTGATCCAAGTAGAGTCGTAAAACTCCCAAGACCGACGGCAGTGCGAAGGCCAAAGGCAGCATCATGCTCTACTCGACGGCGTTTCCGAGGCCAAAAGTCAATGGGGCTGGGATCTAAATTTTCAGTTTCTTCGTATTCGTTCTCTAGGAAAGCAAACACTGGCCCACCTGCTAGCATCCGACGGTTCCAATCCTCTGCAGGAGGGTGCAACTCAAGCTCGCGCATGAGTAGTCCAGCAGCATCAGCACCTCGAGGACGAGGCAAGTTCTATCATTAGCAGTCAGATCGGGTTGATCAGGAATATAATTTAATCAGCAATACCTACTTCAATTACAGAGGAACTTCTGAAGCATTAAGGAATATTCCGTATAAGATAGTGGGATAGGAACCTGCATATGAGGACCGAGAGAGGCTTCCACGACCTCAGGAGCAACAGTAAACTGGCCATCGATGAAGTGAAGCCGCAAAATTGGGTTTGCACTTTGAAGTTGAGATTTTGGTAGTGGATGCGGGAGTGGTGCAGTCCGCTTACAAAGATCAACGAGCACTAAAAACAAATACTTCACCTGTAAGAAGGTGCAACACATAAGATGAAGGTAACGCATAGATAGAAGTTCAAGTATGTATTATATGAAAACGTTTCCTCGGTCACACACCCCCTCCTGAAAAAGTACAAAACAAAGCTGCACAGACTTCGACGACAATCATGTTTGTAAAGAACAAGTAAAATGACATTGTTTGTGGCTGTATCCCGAACTCATTGTTCAAGGAAGAATTAAGAGCTTGAAATTCTAACCTCATCGGGTGTGTAACCTTGGCCACAATTTCCAAGACCAACACGTTGAGCTCGGGAAGTTGCGATATCCTCAGCACCTTTGCTTACGGTGCTTGTTGTACGTGTAACAGTGTGACCCCCTTCCTCGACTTTTACAAGCCCAGTGCGCTGTCCAATCAAAGGTTCCTCCTTAATGTTTCCCAGCTTATTAGTCCCATCGACAGAAGCTGCTGGTCGCCCTGCAGAAATTTGGACATGTCGAGGCAACTGTCGTTTACGGAATATGAGACAGAAGAGAAGAAGTTGACATAATCTATGTAGAAAATGGCAGTCGCTGATAAGGCGTACAGCTGGTGTGCCAGGAAATGTAGCAGTGCTGACACTCAAAGGAAGGTTCGTAGCAGGCCCAGCAACTGTTGTGCTCGACACTGCAGAAGTAGTCGCATCAGTATTGGTGCTACTAGAGTTGATTTTGGCTATGGCTCCCTGAACCCATGCTTGGACTTGAGCAGCTCCACCACTGCTTGCAGCACCAGCTGGTGCCCCTCCTGCAACAACGATCCTCCACACTATGAGAAAAGTTTTATAAGCCAGATTAAGCGCGATTATAGCTAAAAAATGCATGCTGCGGGATCTAATTAAACGTGTGCAGAAATAACTCTTTATTCCTGCCGACATACTTGAATTGATCCCGAAAATGTGTACAGGATGTAGACTGAAACTTTCAACTTTAGAGTGGTCTGTTCAAGCGATTCCATTCTCTTCAAAGTAGATCCCGAAAATTTAATAAATGTTAACATTATCTGTAACAATTTGATATTTGATTTATGCTGATTCATGACACAGAAATGAGTACCGTATGAATGTATTATATGTCTGTAATTCGTATGATATGAGCGATCTGGAAAACGAAGTCACTACTCCATTAAACAAATAATCATTGAGGATAGCAAGCTGGGAATACTTCGATCTTTTAAGGGTGTGGTTAGACTCGACTCACCAGGCCTGTCAAGCCCAACCTCAGTAATACTCATGCTTATAATAACTAAGAGCGCAATATCCGGTGCTAGATACTTGCTTAATCACCAGAAAGGAGAAATTTAAGACAAAGGATGCGAAGCTGGATGGCAAACGCATACAATGAAACATAATGCACCTGTGTGTGACAGAAGTACAGATTGTGATGGTCAAGAGTGTTATTACATAAACATGTAGCTTACCCTGGCTAGCAGGGGCGGCAGACGTAGTAGTGGAGCTGGAGGTAATGGCAGTTCGGGCAGCTGTAGTTGCCGAGGTAGTACCTGAGGCCGCGTGGGCTGTTAGAGTGCGACAAAAGCTTGCGTATCGCCTTAATCTTGTCAAAAAATGTGATGCGAGATCCAAAACCGCATCTACATAAGCCTGCCAACACATATCACTACATTCACCTGTCAACTTCGCCATTGAAAAGTCCACTTTGACAATTTCAAACTTGAATACTAAGTACAAACAAATGGCACCATAAAGGTTGCATCCATAGTACATAAAATAAAATCCTTTATACTGATAGTAATTGTTCATCTCTTGCATCTCATTCCCGCTGAACTATGAATGAATATGATCCATGTTACACAAAGATTACAGGCACAACATAAAAATAAATTCGAAAATTAGAGTGGACTAAATCGAAAGTCATATCCCGCAGCTACTTGATAACAATACGCTATGCTATATGATGGGGATTCCACTGGCTATGGCATCTAAGAAGGGCTTAAGGTCACTCTTCAGAGCATTATATGGTCGATAAGGAATTACTGCTGACGATTGAGTACATCGAACACTAAAATTGCAAAGACTATGATTGAAATGCAGAAATATGCAAGTAATGAAAGTCAATAAAAAGTTGCAGAAGACTAATGATATTTCCGATATACTATCTGTTAAGTAGGCGAAGAGAGGGACCTGAATAGTTGGAACGAGAGCACCGTCAACAGCCATGGCATCCGGTCCTAGTCCACTGAGTGTGTCACTGGATGCTTGCCATGGCTCAGCAATCAAAGTGGATGGATTCATCAAGGCAGCTTCTATACCACGACCCAGCATGTCAAGCATCAGGCGACCTTGCATGTCCAGCACTAGTACTCGAACATCAGCCGCTTGGACACCCTCCAACACACGGCATTTAATTCTGTCTAAAGCCTGCGACCACATGCCTTCGATTTAAGGTAGTCCAACTACAGCAGATATACGGTAATAGTTCGATAAACTTTATGATAAACTTGCAAATATCATCCGAGATTTATGGTCATCCGAGATTGCATTGGTCATACCGGGCCATAGTGATGTCGCTGCTGAGGTTGAAGGGAGTGGAAATCAGCGTCAAGTACCGACATAACTTTGGCAACTGTAACTGTTAAACAATACACAGGGAACACTAGTAAGTAGTCAACCAAGGCGGATCTAGTCCAAAATGGGATAGAAAATTCGATTTTAAACTAATAAACGCCAATAGATTAAAATTGCATAATCAAACCATGTCCATCCTCGGCGGCTGCTTGAGTGGCGGCAACCACGTCCCACCAATCTACCTCGCTCACCAAACTCCACCAGAACCTAAAGTCCAGCAATTGGTGGTTACATGACAAAGTAAGGAACGTTATAGTATGAGTAAACAACAGCTCCAAACATTCTCCACGAGCACTTATGGCAAACGCCACTAGCTAGATGAAGTGTGCAGAAATCTTACAAGGAACTAAAAGAGCTGCCTATCGAAATCGACAAAAAATACTACCAACTTCTGAGAAAATTAGCTTTGACTAAAAAAAATAGTTATTTAACGACTGATCATGCAACTTGAGAACGCAATGTAGTGTGGTGAATTCAATTCGTACAAATGAACCAATAAGATGACTCACGCAGCTCGATTAAGTCATCGCAACTATTCTTAGGTGCCTGATAAAATCCATCCTGGAACAGAACGTGAGAGGGAAAGAGAAAATCATCTCTTACCTGTCCGCAAGATGACGTTCCAATACAGGGGGGGCACCAGAAGAGACAGGGGGTATTTGGGCAATTCGTAGTGTACACACGTCCGTTTTTTTGTCATGCCAAACTGAAGCTAGACAGCAGCTGGTTGGAGAAAATGCTGGTGTTGGTAAATGTGGGTCCACTTTCACATGAAATAAATCCACAGGGGTCATCGTTGAACCTGAAAAATTGCAATAGAAATCAGGCCAAGAACCCATAAACAAACAGTTCATATCTTACAGGAATAGACGTCTGGTGTTTGCGAGTAGTGCAACCAGTGATCGTTGAGAAAGCCCTAGACCATGAACACACAATGCGAAGTTCCCTGATTATTAAACAGCAATATCGTAGTGGCATGTTTTACAGCTCCTGCCCTCCAAGCGAAATAGAACCAGTGTGCATCATATCGACTCACCTGAGAAGACATGAACCTCTCCACTGAATAACGCTACTGCCAGCTCACCACCATGGGCAGAAAAAACTATTCTGGCTATTGCACGCGGGTTAACAGGCCGCTCACGCTCACAGTGTTTCTGCTGAAAATGCGAATTTTTAGAAAAGCGACCCCTGGTGATATTTTGCTTAGCAACGGAAGTCCAAGTAGTCATTGTGGGTGGTGGACCATTCGTGCTTTCCAAGAGGGGGTGGATATTAACTGGCTTAGTTCCACTTTCCCACCTATGAATCCGCCACCCTGTCAATGCCGGCCCTGCGTCTGGGTTTCCTGGAGATATATAATATCCTGCAGTAGTCAATAACACCACATATGGGCAACACTTCTCTTGAAGGTAAAATATAAGTAAGGCACAAATACTTTGGATTAGTATATAGTAAGAAAAAAAAACGAGATTATTCACCAGAAAAACCTAGAAAGCACAAGATTTTCGCAGTTGCGTATCTGCTCCACAAACAAGCATGAATACCAAAATCAGATGTTCAACAAATCAACGACAGAATTAAAATAAACAACATATCCAGCTAAGTCATTGTAAAATAGACCATTAAAAAACGTTTACCTTCTATTACAGTGGTGACAAGTGCAGAACCTCCACGAGAGGGATCAAAGGCGACAGCGGTCACACCGGAACCCCAGGAGGTTGTTGCAGCGGCATCTGGACTTACATAAGCTGAGAAGTTTGATACGACTGAGCAATGTAGTAAGGGTCCCGGACAATCCTCTCCTTCAAGCAATGTCTCTGGTGTTGATTGTTCTTGCCATGTGAATAAGTAAGCTGCCAAAGGGGAGAATCCAGGCCATGACGGTGATTGGATGTTGCCTATTAAAATCTTTGCACTAACTTGCTGTGTATTGCTGGGAGTGTTAAGATCCCACGCGGTCACTTCCCATACCACAACAGTAGATGGATTGCCAACTGGTGCAGCTGCAACAAGTAGAGACCCAGAATCATTAATTATGGCGTCCCCTGTGAAAACTCCAGATGCGCCTGCACCCAGAACTCCTTTCTTTGTTGCAAACCACTTCGGGGAACTGGAAGGCCATTGTTTCCAGTGAAGCTGAACAGTGCCAGCCCAAAATACACTACACACACACAGGAAGTTTGGCCAGCGCGCTGCAAAGTAGGAAAACACCGTCTCAATTAGTCCATACCATTACATTCCAGTAAAAGTGATTAATAGAGTGGTAAGTCACAATGATATAACTACAAAATTGCAAAGCTCTGCACAAGCCATTGATTTGGTGTCAGTTTAATTTTCACAAATACGGATCGCCTCGGTTCGAAGAAACAAAACAGAAACAAAACCAACATAAGATGTGCAGCTAAACTCATGGAGCATAGGAACAGGTTTATACTGGTGGAACGAGGTTGATATGGTAAATACTTCTCTTCAAATGACCCTTTAGTAGACGTGGAGGATGTCGTCCACCGATACTAGCACATAACACATTTCAGCACAATCAAAATAATAGTTTTAAAAATAATTACTTCATCCGGGACAGTAGGGGATGATTGCCGGAACACAAATCCCCAATACTATACCGTAAAATTAGAAATATTACACTCATCATGACATTCATTTGCAGAACCACATGAGTAAAATTCAAGGTGGAATACGTAGCTTTTAAGTACCAATATAGATGAGTACTTGACACAATCACGAGTTTAAATTATAGATTACATCATAGAATGTCTCCAAGTGTCAACATTTAGAAACATCAAATAAAAGACAACTTCCTGCAACTTCAAAATGCAATTGACTTTGAACATTTCATAGGAACACTGCAGTTTCTTACAGGTGGAGGAGATTCGAGCCACTTGGTGGTAATAGATTGCTCTTGGCGCCACTCGTACTCACAGCTCCACCCATTACAAGTACGTGCCACATTTGCCCCTCCCTAACATTCAAAAATAAAATCACTAGATGTTCCTTGTTCTACGCTATATAAATGTTATTCATAAATTTGTCATACAATGCAACTAGGATTTTAAAAAGGGGAGTTGAAAATCAAGCAGTTATTAATTTAAATATCAACTCACTTGAGTTGGCTGTGACCAAATGCTGGCTCGCCCGCTAGCATTTACGATTAAAAGAGCCCGTGGACAAGAGTTTGGAGACCACTCAAGATGTTGTATAGAATCACCAGGAGAATCTGTAATCTTTGAGTAAGAAAAAGATGACAAAAATCATACAACTTCTGAACATTTTTAACCAATAACATCTACTAGCAAAGCTATAAGACTGTACTCAGCTTTGAGGGGACGCCTCCAACACCAGCAATGTAACACCAAATAGATTAGACCCAATCCTCGCGAAAGGTTACCGGCTGGAACGTTGAATACTGAATGTTCAGTGGGTCGCTCCGGGTCAACCAGGTGCATAGGGATCCAGAAAGCAGGTTCCTGAGTAGACCTAATCCCACAGACACAGAAATGAACAGAAAATCTTGAAAGGAAGACTTGAAAAGATCCAATTGAAGTTGAAATGCCTTAAAATATTCAGCAAGAGAAAATCATAACCACTTATCCAACAAGAAATCTAAACACAGAATTTGTGGTGAAATAAATGGATTTCATGCATATGTGTAATATACTTTGCATTTAAATCCATAAAAAAAAAAAAAAAAAAAAAAAAAAAAAAAAAAAAAAATGAATAAACAAAACGTTCCACCGAAACCCAGTAGTTGCTGAGATCTTAAATTAAGAATTTTATAGCATTTGGGATCACTGTTAAATAACTGTGGATTGGAAAAAGCTTCTCAGGAGCACAGACTGACCCTTGATCTCGTGAGCATGTTTCAACTGCGCAGCAAATGAGATTGGTCTTGGAACACCATGCAACTGCACTGCACACGTATAATCAAGCTAAGTAAGTAGCAACCCCATAGAGATTCTAGACTGGAAAATAGGAGGAGCATTTGGAGAAAAAGAGAGGGCAGGAGAGAGAGCGAGAGAGAGAGAGAATTTTATTTAAATTCTTTTCAATGATGTGAGAGAAATCGATATGCACATGATGCAAAGCCCAGAGGAAAAGGGAGAAGGAAATCAGGATTTAATCACCTGAATTTTCTGCACAACTCAGGAAAATTCATCTTGAGAGCTGTACTGAAGGGTGGTGACCGCAACGCTACTTGCAAGATAGTTTTCTCGTCGTCCTCTTCGTCTTCTAACTCCTCCGATTTCTGTGTCGCTTGATTGTTGAAGGATCCCCATTGCTGGTCGCCTTCAACACCCTCCATACTCTGCATCTCTAAAATGTGAGTGTCTATGCAATTCATCCCATTAAGAAGCTACAATGACAAGCCCCGGCTTCTCGTGCGAGCTCAGACAATCCATGAAACCGACAACATCTGTACTCACGCCACCGCGTTTATCATGCCTCAGCTCAGTGAATCCTTCGCAGTGTTCCGCCATTTCCAAATCATTGTGATCGACACACTATTTTTATTACTCGCACAATTCAATCGACAACAAATTCCAAATCACCAACTGGCTTGAAGCCAACACCGTAACGGGAAGCTACTGTCGAGGCGGACAATCACCTGCAGCTTCCCCCTGAAGCTTCAAACCCTAATCACGATGAGTCGCGTACCGTGCTATGCGCTCGTTTCAAGGAACCCGCGGTTATAGAAAAGTCTCATGTGCCCGCGAAACGAGGGTCAACAAACTACATTGACTGTAGCGAATGTGTATTGGCTCCTCTATTTGTTGTTGTGGCATTTTAGGAAATTTCACTGCATATTCAATATGAAAATTCAGATAAATTTTTATTTAAATAATTTTATTTAAATTCTCAAAATTAATTGCCATGATGTTCCTTATTGAATATTGAACTATCTTGTAAATGCAAAAATTCATGTGACAAATAAGTTTTTAATTTGCAAGTAATAACTATTTTCTTTTTTATTTTTTAAATCATCGAAAAATCAAGGAAAATAAATATAATGGATTTTTTATTTTTTAATGCACTACACGGTAATTAACTATTTATGAAAAGAAATAGTTTTAATTTTCAAATAGTCTAAATTCATTAAAATTCCTATTTTTGGCTTCTTATAAAATTATCTATGTGTGATAATGTACTCAACTACTGTCAACATTATAAATATTTTATTTTAAGATCACTATATGCAAAATAAAGGCTGATAATACTTATTTTTATCTTTGGAAAACTCCACATGATTTTGAGCTTCTTTAAACCATAATTTTATATTTGAATAAAAATTATTTTTTTATTTTGGGGCCTTGGTTTTTGGAATATTATATAAAGCAACTTATTGATATATAACACAACATCAAATTAAAATTCAAATAATATAACAAAGAACCACATAAACATATTTTATCTATATTATACAAAAAAATAGATTTCAAGTTCATGAATCTTGTGGTTATAGTTTGTGACATATTTTTAGTTTTTGTATATAGACTAAAAAGTAAAATGTATATAAATATATATATATATATATATAAAGAGAATGATAAATAGATCCATACTTTTATTAAATAGATCTATCTTTGATAAAAAAATATATGATCATGATGAATGTAACTGGTTTTTATTGGTTGCAAATCAAATAATTTTTATGGACATATATTTATTATAATTCTTATCTAGATAATATAAATATGTAGAAATAGATAAAAATAGATTAATTTTATAAATTATTCTAAAGTAGCTTCTTAAAAGCTTCATAGATGCTATTTTAACTTTACATGTGTTTGTAGTTGATTAATAGATTAGAAACTTGGTCAATAAGTTAATCATGTGCCACACATGTTAATAGCTTACAAAATAAGCTATCTATATGGTGTCCAAATAAAAAACTTGCCTTGCAAGTTAACACACATTTTGTGCAAAGTCAATATGTTGTGGAGATCCTATAGAACATCGCAACATAGCTCTTAGATAGATAGTATATATAGCAATATGAATGAAGTCTTCTTCACTCTTGTCAATTCTTTTCTTACTTCTAGTCTAGGTTCAAGAAATCTTTACTTTTCTTTTCTTTTGGCAATAGCCATTCCAATTTCCATTTAATATATATACTTCTATATTTTTATTTTTATATACTTTTTTGAAAAACTCTCACTTGTTAATTTGCTATCATTGAATTTTTGTTCTTGATAGATTGTTAAGAATACACTTACAATATCAGAGCTTCATCTTTTCTTGATTAAGAGTGGATTATTCTTTTTTTTAAAAGATATAAGCATATTAGAAGTTGTGAATTATCGTCTTCTAAATTGATATTATTTTTAATATTTTTTTTTTATTTTTAAGTTCTTTCTTTTACTTATCTTGAGTAATATTAGACATTCTTTTTTTTTTTTAGTATTATTATTATGGCAGAGCTTATGTAAATAAAGAGTATAATGGTAAAATTGCAAGAACAATTAAAGGAATTAATGCTTGCAATGCATCAACTCAATTTACAACCACAAGGAAGAACAAGAATAATAGAAAGTAAAGATATAGAGATGATTGATATTGCTTCAACATCTGTATCAAATCATGTCCCTTTCTCTATAGTGGAATACCATTCAAGTATTAAAAAACCAAGAATTATCTTACTTAAGAAGTTTGATGATACAAGATCAAAGTTTCAAAGATTCATTAATCAAGTATAACTAACAATTCAACTTCAACCTTAAAGCTATTTAATCCCAAGATTATAAGTCAAATTTATTAAAACACTACTTTTTAATTATGCATTATCATAGTTTTCATCTTTTTTTAAATGATATAATTCAATATTAGACAATTTGAAAGTTTTTTTGGCAAAATTTTGATTTATATATTGAAAATATGATGTAGTTTGTGTTGCAACAAATAAGATCTATATTTTGTGATAAAAAAATTAATCTATAACATTGTATGCTTCACAATTTAGACAACTTACAATTGATATTAAGTGACATGATACTGCACTTCTTAGCCAAATTTTTTATCGATTACAATATGAGGTAAAGAAATTGATGCACAATTTATCTAATCTTCAAACATTAAGTTAAATAATTGATTTAGTCGTAAAGTATACCAATCAATTTTTTGAATTTTGGTATGAAAATTGTATAAGTTTGCCTTACTGTTATTACAATTCAATGACAATACCAACATCTTTTTAACACATATCTTTGAAAGTAGAAAATATGCAAATTAATGTAGTACGTTTCAAACCTCTTATTGAATAAAAAAGACTTGTTATCTTTAAAAAAATATTTTGTTTATATTATGGAGAACCAAAGTCTATTACTCAACATTATCCAAAAAAGTGATGCAATTATAAAATGAGGAGTACAACTATCAAAAAAGATAATATGTCAAAAAATAAGTTTGTCCAACTACAATAGGAACTATGTAGCTATAACTTCCCACAACATCTAATGAAGATCTTATTCTCTCTTTAAAACTTTCTCTTTATTTTACAATAGATATTAATTTAGGACCTAAACATCACAAAGCCTTTGCCTTATTAGATTTAGGAACCTCAGCTTCTTTTTTAGATGAAGAATTTGTTAAAAGATACAACATATTTTTAGTAAAGAAATCAAAATCTATTCATGTAGAAGTTATAGATAGTCATCCATTATTCTTTAGAGACATTATTTTTAAAACATTTTCTCTAAAAGTTATAACTAATGGTCATAAAAGGTTTGTGGTATTTAATATCATGAGATCTCTTTTTAATCCAATTATTTTAGATATATTGTCATTAAAAAAGTATAATTTTTAAATAGATTTGATTTTTTGTAGTCTTGATTTTTTTTAAAGCATAACTAAGAATGTAGTTAATCAAGTACAAAGTCATAAGTCTAGTACAATCAAATCTATATTTATAGATATAAGAACTTTCTTGTATGTTGCAAAAAAAGAATCACCTTGTGTCATTTATGCCACATTTATTTTTAATGGTAGAAAGACTTTAAATGGCATTTTTAGCTAATATTAAGATTTTAAAGAAGAATTTGAGAAGAATAATATAGATACTTTTTTGAAACATTATTTCCATGATTCTTTAATTGATCTTCAAGAAGGATTTCAATTGCCATTTGGACTAATCTATAATTTATCACAAAATGAGTTGGTTGAATTCAAAGAGTATATTGAAGAAAATGTAGCTAAAAACTTCATATGCCATTCCAAATCTCCAATAGAAGCTCAAATTTTATTTATGAAGAAAAAAGATGGATCATTGAAGATATATATCAATTATTAAGGACTCAACAAGATTACCATCAAGAATAAGTATTTGCTACCTTTGATATTTGGACTTCTTAATTAGTTGAATCAAGCTAAGATCTATACGAAAATAGATCTATGAGGGACATATAATTTGATATGTATCAAAGAACAAGATGAATAGAAGACTGTATTTTGAACCAGATATAGATCTTTTGAATACAATGTCATGTCTTTTGGAGTTACAAATGCATCAATAGTTTTTCATAAAAGAACATGAACTTTATATTCATTTTGTATTACAAAAATTAAGAAATGTAGGACTTTATGCCAAGCTAAAAAAAAATATAAATTTTAAACTATTCAAATCAACTTTTTAGAATATATTATTTCAAATGATGGACTTAAGATAGATCCTAAGAAAGTTCAAACTATTATGGATTGAATGATTTCAAAAAAGATAAAAGATAAAAGATGTCCAATTTTTTTTTGAATTTTCCAACTATTATTGGATCTTCATTAAAGACTTCTTTCAAGTTATAGTTCTATTTATAAATTTGACTTCTGAAGATAAATTTCAATGGAATTAAGAAATAGAAGTATAATTTGAAGCTTTAAAAAAATATTTTATTTTTGTACCAATTTTGTATCATGTTAACTTTTTAAGCCATTTTTTATAGAAACAAACGCATCAAATTTTACTTTAAATGTTGTAATGTCACAAGTAAGAACAAATAATAAACTTCATTCAGTAGTTTTTTATTTCAATTTTTAAAAAATCAAGATCAATTACAAGATCCACGACAAAGAACTTCTTGCAATTATAGATTTATTTTAAGAATGGTGCCATTATCTAAAAGGCGGTTCTAGTCCAATCACTATATATACAAATTATAAGAACCTTAAATATAGAAGGCAGTCAAAGATTTTGTACAATCTTGTGATGTTTGCTCAAGATCAAAAATTCTCCTTCATTGAATTTATAGACTTTTTTAGCTATTATCTATTTCAAAAAAACCATAGTCTTCTATTTATAGGAATTTTATTATAAATCTTCTAATTTCAGGTTTTTATGACTTTATATTTGTAATAGTAGATTGTTTCACCAAAATGGCATACTTTGTACCATGTACAAAATGTATCATAAGTAAAGAAAAAACTAAGCTTTTTCTTGACAATATCTATTACTATCATGGTTTGTTTAAGAATATTATATTAAATAAAGAATTCAATTTGTATCAAGATTTTAGAAAATATTTTTTAAGATTCTAATGGTGGACATAAAACTATCTATGGCTTTTTGTCAACGACATGAATCTCAAAGAATTATAATGTCAATACACTCTTATGTCA